GTTGTCTGCACATTCTCATCAGGACCTTGACAAAATTTTTCATGCCACGTGGTCCAAACAATTCAACTCCGTCAAACAAAAATAATGGACAGGTAAGGAAATCAATGATTTTAAACTTTTGTCGTCAATAATATCAAAATATCCGTTAAGTCAGAATCAAATTATTACAGAAAATAGTTTTGAAATTGTACGAGTATAAATAATATAAATACTTTTATATTATTTTCTACCACTATAATTTAATTCTTAAATTATGAACTTCAATTTTACTAATCGTAGTAAAAGAAATAAGGGTTAATGTTACGTGTGGTTCCAAAATGGCCGCGCTTCCGACTGTTCCAAAGTCTATATAAGAAGGCCAGGACACGGGTGATCTACTTCTTGAGCTGCCATTTTGGGGCTTTTTTGAGTCGCATGTTTTAAGCAAACAAGAATATAATAATATAATATAACAAATTTACAATTATTTTTTTAAAGCACGATTGGTTATAAAATTAAGATGAAATTCAATAGTATTATTAACAAATGTGGACAATGTAATAATCATTTTATAATAAGTAATAGATGTGTAGATATATTTTTAATTTTAAATAGCTTTCAAAAAAATCCAAAAATAAGTTTTAAAATTAAATTATTTGACAATAAACTATATATATATATAAATTACGGGCTTATATATATATATATATATAGGCACGTAAACAAAGTATTCCTAGAACTAGTACATTTTGAAAAAAAATAGTAAATTTTTTGAAGGCGCTTCAGTACGCTTTGAAATTTTATTGCGGCAACACTGCTTCCGTGTCCGCCGAGACGCAATGGTGTCATCCTGACAGGGCACCAAAGAGGTGCCGACCCTTCGGTCACAAGTTTAAAATTAAACATTCATAAGCTCATTATGTATTTAACACGAAAAAGTATTGGACTGCTGTCAAAGTTGACCGAAGAAATTTTTGCAAATCTCATATGAGACTTTCTAAATCCCAAAAAGAACGACAAAAATTCATGGATTTATGTGGAAGCGTGTGCGCGTGCTTTTCTGTTTGTGTGTTGACGTCAAAATGAGTTAATGATCAAAAACTTCAATTTTGTATGATATTGTAGAAAATATTGCACTATATTCGACAGTGCAGTAGAATGCACTGGATTACATCAAATGATTTTATTTCTTATATAAAGTACCATATATTATCATAATATTTTACAAATTTTGCTCATAATGAAAACTAAAATATTAAAAAAGAAATTATAGAAATTTTGAAAAAAAATTTGCTATGGGACTCCTTTAAACTTCTTCAAAAATAAAGATTTACATTACAATATATATATTCTATATCTGTACACGACGGAGCACTTTTTTCAGAACTTATGGCCATTCCTTCATTTACTATATAACGACTTGCCGAATTACTAATTCGTATGTTACTTCGTAGAATGTCCTCTTCATTAATTTTAGCTATCACACGAAATGTAGAAGATTTCGAAATATAATTGACTCGATACAATTTAATCTTTCCATTCTGATCACAAGATACGTAATTTTCTTTTTCGGGATTCCAAATACCATTGTCAATAAACTTCTGTATTCTTATTCTTATACGTTTTTCGCTGTTATGAGAAATTGGGAGTTCGATTCCAGTGAGGAAACAATCTTCTAGAACAAATATCTCCGAAATGAACTGAAACTTGTTTTCCATATTCATTTCTTGATCGTGAATGGAATAACTTCGATTGCAATATATGAACCAAAAGCTATGTTTTTCATCGTTTCTCGANTTCCTCGCCTTTGGATATTTCTTTGCCCTTGGATATTTCTTCGCCTTTGGATATTTCCACGCCTAATAACTGTGTCTTCTGTTTTCTGAGTCCGTAACTGTCTTCTTTTGGGATTTCATACAAGGTAATTATCGACACGCGAACTTCTGTAAACTGTCTCTCTCAAAACGGTTAAAAACGTAATATCTTAATACTATTATATACTAAAGCGAGCAATGTATCTAACCGCAGCCCTAATGTATAGCCTATCGTTAACCATTAAACAGTTGTTACGTTAACAAAGCGTCTGAGTAAATCACTTCCGGTGCGTTGTCTCTCCTTCTATCTCGACTCTGATCGCTCCGTTACGCGACCGCTCGCGTGACCTAAATAACGCGGCTTCCGTGTCCGCCGAGACGCGGTGGTGTCATCCTGACAGGGCACCAAAGAGGTGCCAACCCTTCGGTCACAGTGGTGTCAGAAGTGGGATCCGATTTACTTATAAAATAACTGAATACGGGGAAAGATGGAATCCCCAGGAGAAGGACCATCGCGCGGAGCAGAAGGACAAGCGCGTGGAGAGACAGCCGGAAGTTCCACGGGGGGCGGACTAGGCGGATTAGGGGCCCTCGTTCCTTTGATACCCTCCTTTGCAGGAGAAACTGAGGGACTTAAGGTTACAGATTATCTAGCAGCCATAGATGAGATAGCTAAACTGACTAATTGGACTAAGGGCCAATGCTTAAGCGTAGCGAAACTAAAATTAACGGGGATAGCCCGAGATTACGCATGGAATGATGAAAAAATGAAAGCAGCGGACACATACGATGAATTTAAGAAACTTATGATAAAACGATTCGAAAGGGTTCCATACTCATTAAGATTGCAGAAATTCCATGCCTGTGTGCAAGCACGGGATGAAGACGTTCAAACATACGCCGTGCGCTTGCAAACTTTAGCCTCAGAAACTGTTATAGAACATAAAAGTGAGGACCCTGGAGAGGCAGCAATCATAAAACGATGTCAACAAAAAGAAGCAGATGAACGATTGAGGGTACAATTTCTTAGCGGGCTAAATGATCGCTTAAAAAGACCGGTAATGTCGAGGGAACCGGACACATTTGATAAGGCAGTACGCGTTGCTATCAGTGAAGAAACTATCGACCAATTAACAGGAAGAACCCGAGGGATGGTCCGAACTATAAACAATCC